CTGCCGCCGCGGCCGCTGCTGCTGCTGCTGCTGCCAGGGTTCATTTCCGAGCCCGCAGCTGCCTTCTTCAGGGGGCTGGAGCTGCTCGGCTGCAGCTGCAAGGGGGGCAGTGCCGCAGCGCTGCTGCTGCCGCCGCGGCCGCTGCTGCTGCTGCTGCCCCTGCTCGGGAGGCGCGGGAAGCGGCAGCCCTGCAGCAGCAGCAGCAGCAGCAGCAGCAGCAGCAGCAGCAGCAGCAGCGCAGGGCGCCAGCCGCAGCAGCCTGCACGGAGGATGCTGCAGCCTGCGGTACCGGCCTGGGAGCCAAGAGGTACCGAGGCTGAAATCCCGGCTCACACCACACCTCAGTCTCCAGTTTGTTCCCCGTCTAGCCAAACTGTGCGGTGCCAAAGATGCAGAACAAGGATCCAAAGCTCACGGCAGTCCTGTAAATGTAGGAGGAAGCGAATGGGGTCTGTGGGAATTATAATGGAATAAAAGCGCTTGAATTAGAACACACCACTGGGCTTTGTGTTTGTGGTGACAATTCAGGCGGTGCATTGAYGGTCAGTGCCTCTGATTTCCTCACTACGGGGCTGAAAACTAGGAGAGCTCCTTGTCTGCTTTTACAAAATTTGTTCTCATGATGCCTTCATTTGGAATATGCAGCAGTCTACAAGATCATGGAATAGTCRGTCAAGGAAATAAGTGAGTTATTTTGTTTTGAGACATTAAAAACTGTATTGACTAGAAAAATCCCTAATTACATCAAAGATCCACCATTAATAAGTGRGGACAAAATGCTTTTACACATGATCCCTTTTCTGTAATCTATGATRCTATGAGTTGTAAAGAATAGCGTATAGTAAATTGCATTTTTCGTCATCATCCTCTCTATTTTTTAACTACAGCCAATCCTGGTGGTCTAAAATGCTTGCTGTTCATCTGTGTTTCTCTTTGTAATTAGCAGTTTTGGGAAGAAAGATTAATAATTGCAGCATAACAGGCAAGACTGTAGCAATACAGGGACTACACACACAAATGTCATTCTGGCAATTGGTCAAAACCACAAAGCGTCCAMATAAAAAGTATATGTGCCTATTGCTTACTAAGGAAACTGCTTCACTGATTCTATCAGCAGGAGGAATCAGTGTATATATAGTCTTTGAAAGGCTTGACAGAAGTTGCACACATTTCATACAGTGATAGGGAAATGGCTCCCATAGAAGTTGGCATCAGAAATGGTCCCATACCACAGAGTTTGGAGCTGGATTCAAACACCGCCAGAGTTCATGAATTCCAGTATCTTCAAACCCTTGTTCACAATTCAAACTCCTTTCCAACACCTCATTCTTGGCATTTAATAGTTGACATGCAAGTTTATGGCAAAACACTTGGTATTCCCAGGGAAGTAATTTGTAATGACTTATAAGACTATTCTTTATACACCCACAAAATCACTAGAGAAATTGAATAGAGAAAAATTGAATTGAGAAATTGAATAGAGAAAAATCACTAAAGAAATTGACTTTCATTAATAGAATTACAGTATTTAACAAAGAATAGCAGGGGAGTAGGGTGGGCTTTACTTTAGATTTCACAGTAACAGGTTGTGCTGGGAGAGCAGCGAGGGTGTTTCAAATGCCATGCAAGGATGATACCTGCCTGCCGCCTGCTTCTTCTTTATGATGAAAGGAATGAACTCCTATACATGTACTTTCAACTTCTGAACAATCTTTGTATTCAGAATTTCAAGGACCAGTGYAAACATTTGTGGTTGGTACAAATTGTCCTTTTTTGTTGCCCAGAAAATGACTAAATTAATCTGTCTCTCTGAGAACGAACACTAACAGGAACTTAAGGAAGCATTTCTTCACTGTGAGGGTGACAAAGCACTGGAACAGACTGCCCAGAGAGGTTGTGGAGTCTCCTTCTTTGGAGATCTTTAAAAGCTGCTTGGATRCAGCCCTGTGCCACGTGCTCTAGGTGACCCTGCGTGAGCAGGGGGGTTGGACTCGATGACCTCTGACGTCCCTTCCAATCTTCGGCATTCTATGATTCTATGATTCTATGATTCTATGATTCTATGATTCTATGAACATGTTCTAACAACGACACAGCAACCTCCAATATCAGCATTAAATATCATAACTGATACAACTAGGCTCCATGCTACTAGGCAAAAAAATGAAATGAAATAGTCCCTACTAATTTCTGAATCCCAATCAGAAAAATAATTTGCAAATGATCTAAGTTTCTTATTAATCTRTAGAGAATCCTATCTCCAATGAAACCAGTGTAAATTTTGCAATTGATCTAGAACACATCGAGTTTTCCCTCTTGATTTCTTTCTTCCTGTTCTAGTCCTTGTTTTTTAAAGACAAAGTTTCAAGAAAACTGCAGTTAGCCCATAGTAAGTTTTCCATCATGGCTTTTCCCTTAATTTCTGTCCCCTAATTTTCATAGATATGTGCCAGCAAGTGCTGGGAAGACGTGTATGAAGCAGGATGTATATATATACCCGAAGCACAAATATTATTCGGATTCTAAAAGTGTTTGTTCAATACCATGCTCATAGAGCAAAATGCATTTGCGTGTAAACTAACGTACAGAACAAACCTAAGACTTAATCACGCTGAACTTTATAAATCCTTGCTGATTTCTGTGYGAGAAGTTACTCAATGTCTTGGAAGATACCATCACGGCTTGGCAAGATCATCACGACAGGCTGTGTACCATAAAGCGCTGAGCACCCGCACTTTCTGAAGCGCTTGGGAAACTGCTCAGAATCTCTCTGGATTTGTTTTCTTTTGAAAATCATGCCCTGGGATTTACTAATTAACTAAACTAGCTCTGTATAAGCCTTTYGTGGTTAGAAATCAGCCTTGATGTGGGTTTTCAGAATGAAGAAAGGTTTGGTCAGAGTTCAGACTCAAATTCATTATGAGTATTTTAGAGCTCACCCAGTTTTACAGCTTGAGTAATTTAAAAAAAAAGGCTTTGTACTGTTGCTTCTCCAACTATGTTAATTGTGTGACGAGTTGCAACTCAAATATTGTACAAAAACCCCTTTTCCTGTTTTTCCACTTGCTGAAGATAGATTTAATGTGAAGCTTTTATTTCTCATTTTCTCTCTGCAACAGTTGTTCTAGGGTTGTTAGGAGGGTCTTGTGGTTACTTTAGTGATTTTCTATACCTTGCTCTTAACTTCATTTCAGCCGAGACACCCACAAGTCAGCAAGGATTCCACAGCCTACTGATAACGATTTTCTGCTAACCAGACAATCGCTTAAATCCACAGTGCCTCACATACCCTTTTTCCAGAACTATCAAAAAGAGTTTCTCTCTGATGAGAATAGGTTACTAATTTAACCAGGAGAAGGAGTTACTCTGTGCAGTTGCCTTACTGACCTGCATTAACATGAGTCTTTCATGTTCCATACAGCAGAATGGAAACTGCTTCTACAGAAGTTGCTGCTGGCTTTGTGGATTGAAGTTACAAAGAGTGAATTTCTGACAGTGAATTCTTTCTGTGAGTCGTTTCACAAAAGCTTTCATCAAAAAGGTTATTTTATTTAAAACATTCAGAGAGCTGAGCATTAAATATTCCTGAGACAAAGAACACTGCCTATTTGGTTTCCTGCAGATGCGGCAAGCCAAGATCTTTCTCCTGTAAGTACCTGTAGTTCTATCAGTTTTAATGGAGCTTTGCTTGTATATACAGCAAAAGAAACTTTCGCTTGGGGAGCTCTTTACCAGTTCTTCTAAAAATGGGTCCTGTGTGAATGCTATGTTAAAGTTTTCCCTAGGCTTCTGAACATCATAAAATGACATTAAAAATGACACAAAACATAAAATGTTGCAATGTATTTCTGCCTGTCATAACTACAAAGGGAGAAAGATGCTTAATAACTAACAAAATTAAGCTTCTATTTTGAGTCAGAAATCCATAGATACTCAACCAGCACATGTCCCATTAAGAAAATTGCCATAGTACCATATTAACTACATTTTGCAATTTCTTCTCTAATATGCCATCCACCTGCTCCTTATAGTACTCCAGTATAAAAAGTAATTTAATGAGGAACATATTCATATGAGACATAATTCATATGAAAGTTCAGTATGAAACTCATGATCATTTAGGTCTTGCCTAAGGAAAATAATAGGACAATGACTGATTTCTCAGCTGAGTCCTTCTTCACTAATACTCAAAATTGCAAAAAAACAAACAAACAAACAAACAAACAAACAAAAAACCCCACTGGATTAAACAAATCCTAAAGACTTTTTTGACAACTGTATTCTCTGAATATATCAACAGCTATCTTAGAAACTTCCTATAAACTTGTACCAAATAGAAACCTCCTGGTACAAATGACAACCATTAACGTCAACTGATGTCAAAAATGATGCTCATAAACTCTGTAAATAATTTCAGCTAAGAAAACAGCATAAAGTCACTGAYAAGTTAGCACAGCCCATTTATCACCACAGCTAAGCTAGACTTGCTGTCGCTAAAAGCAATCTAAAAGCTGCTGGATAAAATCCAAATTAGACCATCAAAGCAAATCAAGATTCTAGAGGCATCTAGACCTGACCTCAGCAACCTCAGTTTAACCCAACACTGCCACCTAGGGAGGCAAAGGGAAAACAGCARCAGCTGCATCGTGAATGACCCTGTGAAGCTTAACCAGGGCAGCTGTTTGAGTTGGTGATTTCCATATTAAGAAGAATCAATATTTCATTTCAAGGAAAACAAATAGGGATTGCAGTGAAAATTTTTCTATTATTTTATTTTTCAAAATTGGAAAACCCATCCTGGCTTTGAATGCATGTACAACAGCTCTGCTGAGTTCGATGAAAAATATATGTCACTGGCTGCATACAGAAGGTGATCCTAGATTTCGAAACATGGAGTCCTTTTCTTCAAAAAATGATTATAGCAGCACTTTAAGATGTGCTATCATTAGAGAATTAGGTTTTATAGATGTTCCTGCAATTGCTGCCACATCATCACTCACCGGTTTTGCTATTTTTGCTGTTATTGCCCTCGTGCTGTTGCTGATGTGACAGGCAGCGCAGACCGGTTGACCTCCATCCCCATCTGTAAGGATCAAGACCTCTCCATCTTGAGGGTCATTTCTAGCTTTCAGTGTCAGGATGATTTCGCTGTCTTCTGAAGTTAACCACTAACATCAATATTTCTCAATAACAAGAGGCATTGATGCAATGATGTCAACTTCATTCCTATTGATATGGATTGATGGCTATAGATAACAATAGTTATTGATACCCACTGATATCAGTCCCTGTTGGTAGATGTTGAYACCTCTCCCTTTTGAGGGAGTATCTAAAGGTTTTGTTTTGAGGCTGATTTTGCTATCGCTTCACAGTGACTGACATCAATACCTCTTGCTGCTGAGAGGCATTGATGACATCAGTTTCCATCCTGAAGGATAGGGATTGATATTGATAGGTATTGACCCATCTGTAGGCATCGAAACCTCTTGATTTCCATCCGTGCTGACAAGGATCAACATCAATATTATTATTGATGGTACATATTGATGGCTACCTATCTTTATCTTTTGATATCTTGTATTTGCAAGGGGCATCTTCTGGTT